GACGAGCCTGGCACGCTGCTTCTGTGCAGCAAAGGGACAAAGATTGCACTTTTTGTTTCAAAATGCCAGCACATCTCGGTGGCACGCAGGCACAAGCACCAGTAGTGCACAGGCACAGCCCCTGCACACCACAGCCGTGGTTGGGCCAAACCTGGGGGCTCGTCTGCTGGCCCCAGGCCCGACCACTGTGGCTGCTGCCACATCCACCACCCGGAGGGTTCACCCCACTTCGCTTGCCAAATGTCCCGGCTCTTCTCTGCCTTCCAACTTCATGCTGAGGCTCACTGGGCTGAAACTAGGGCACTGCTGGTGATCTGAAAGGTGGGCCCTGCGTATTTCGGCAGCCGTCCCAGTCCTCCCGCCACAACCCGAGCCCATCCCAGGCTCAAGGTGACTTTCCCTCCCCAGAGTCGGGACATTTCCAGAGGGGCTCACGGCAGCACTCGCTCTGCCCCCAGCACAGCTTCTCCTCGGTGGCCTTTTAAGCTGTGCTGCAGAGCTTGTCGCTTCTCCTTAGTTCTTCCTGAAGAAGCTTGAGGGTTTCTTGTTGTAAGGTATGTACCTTAACCATTTAATAAGGACGGGCAATCAACATAGGCCTAACGTTTTTCCTTGCCATACACTGCAGCATGCATCTGCAATATCTCACCTTTGGGCCAAACACAAGCGTGTTACCAAATCCAAATCAAGAACTGGGTATCTGTTTCAGTAAGTAAATACAGGCACCTTCTCAGCATTCAAGGATCACAGGTCCCGACTGTTTTTACACGTTTTGTTGGAGGATGGGAACATACAGATGAACTTTTTGCCATTTATTTTACAGCTGGATTACAGCTGCATTTTATTGTCTGTAATTCTGACTGGGTTATCAAAGTATGCCATGTAATTCACACGTGACATTAAAATGATAGAATAATTAAAATTTCAGATTGATGTCTCTGTAAAAAACTAAGTTGGCTAAGAAAAATTAGCTAAGTAATATTATTTATTATTTATTAACATGAACAAGCCCATATGCCTTTAATAAGATATGCAGCAAGCATTAAACACTATCTGAGCCAGTGCAGTAGAATGGATTCGTTCTATTAAAGCCATTACTTCCATCACCAGATCTGAAGCACTGCGATTTAGAGCATTAACCCAGCATACACATCAACAGCCTCTGCCTACAGAAAAACAACTGCAATAACCACAACTGCTGCGAGGCAGAGGAACCAGGCTTCAGTCCCACCGAGGAAATTTACATTAGAAAGCTGTGTGTATCCACACAAAAGTTGTTCAGGTATCATTTCTATTAAATAGAAACATATATCTATATTAAACTCTATCTGCATCCCGACAACCACTTAATTGTTAAAGAGGAGTAAAACGATGTGTAACCACAACACCTGCCTGTCACTGTGAAAGTTCTCCTGCCACAGAGAAGGTCCTCTCAAATTTACCAACGAGACTGGCTTTCATACAGAATACGGTGTACAGATGCAGGTAAAAAATAAAAATAATCCAAGTATGAGGCCTACTCAACAAATGAATTGTGTACATTTATCCAAAATTTGCTGTAGCATCAGTCATTCAGTAGTTTGGCACACTCTCCATCTTGCAGAAAACATTGCATAGGAAAGTCAGGCAATCACAAGTCCTCAATTTCCAGATATATAATCACCTTGCTGAATTAAGTGCCGCTGTCTTGCTAGTACTGTAATAAGCCTAATATATTTATATTGCATCTACATTAAGTCCTAGTTATGCAGAAATCCCTTGCCTTCAGATTTTTACAAATCTGTATGCCAGACGTGCCTCTTTTGAAAGAGAACACAAATCACCTGTTTTGTCAAAATGAGCTCTTCTGGTTATAGTAGCATCACATTAAAATGCAATAATCCCATTATTTACCCAGACACATACTTTGAAATCAAAAACCAAAGCTTAAGTTTCTTTGCAGACGTAGCCTTCTGCCTCCCACCCACCAACCCACACCCCAGTGATGTGGCAGAGGCTACTATTTACTGCAAAAAATTGGGGAGGGGGGAAGACAGGAGGAAATCAGAAAAACAGAGAAAGAGCACACCATATATAAAATGTCAAATATGTCAAAACATTCATGAATACCAACATCTCCCTCCGCACCATAGCCAGCTATAAAGGTTACTTAGGGCTAACGTTTCAGCAAGTGCAGATTATGCAGCAGTGGGTTTACTAATACATAAAAAATCACCTACAGGTGCGTCGGATGTGCTTTTATGTATGCAGCCAGAACAGGGATTTCTACCACTATAGAAAAGTCAGAAGGCTAAAATCACATAAAACGCGCATTTTCTAGCTTTGACTACCCCAGACATAAATTCCTGCTGGCTGTTCTCTATGCATGTGACATATGCAATGAGGATAATTAGGTAAAGGGCTAAGAAAGCAAGTGTTGCTGATTGCATTCCAAAACTAATAAAGCTCTGCGAGGGTGTCATGCCTACAGTAATTCATCTTTCCAATACTACGTTCAGAAAAGGCAGTTTCAGAATATGTCGCGACACTTTCTTGTCCCTAAGTCACCAATTGTGAATTCCATCAGAATAACTGCAGACGAGTACAGTTTTATGGAACGTGAAGCATAACACATGCGAGGCATACATTATACTAGCCAGGCCCTCAGATAAATGAAGCTTAAATTAAATGTCAGAAGATGAATACAGTGTACTGTATTAGCAAACACCTGACCTGAATTCACCCCCAGTTTGTTTGTCAAGTTTGTAAACTCTAACATGTTTTGGAAAATTATACTTTAGCCCAGTCCTCTCACCTTTCCAGATTAGACACAGGAAGGTGTCCAGCACTGGAGAAGGGAAGAACAATGAGACGCTCCGCAGTGTAACTGAGCGGGCTCCACTGGAAACAGAAATAGGTCTTTTGGATACATAAAGCGAGCAGGATCCACTCATAAGCATTGGTGCACTGAAGGAGTAGCTCCTGGAAGTCAGTGCAATTGTACGAGCAGCAAAGTTAGGTTCAAACCAACCCAGCGGCCTGACAACAAACTAGAAGAAAGGAAATGCTGAGGGAACAAAGCAAAACGGTTTTGTCTGCCTTCCCACGCAAGCCATGCAGAAAAGGCAGTAACAAATTTAATGATCAGCACGGAGCGAAAATAATTAATACAGTTCCTAATCTGGAACACTCCGCATCTAAAAGTGAAATCTTTTACTAACAAATCCTACCGACACTGCCGTTTCACAATTCCTCCTTCAGCTCCATACCCTGTGCTGAACTTCGCTCCCCTCGCCAAGCTGTTCCCCCGCTGTCCCCCAATCCTTCCCGGGAGCGCAGCGCAGCCCCCGCCGCCCTTCCCAGCCCCGGGGGCGCCCAGCCCCGAGCAGCCCCTGCCCGTGGCCGTGCCCCCACCGCGGAGCCCGTTCCTCCCGGCCGCTGCCCGGCGCAACATCGGGACCGCTGCTGCCCCTGCCCCGGCGCGGGGGGCTAAGCGGCTTAGGAAAGTTACTGCAAACCCCCCTGGGAAAGTATTTAGCGAAAGCCTGAAGACCAATTTCGAACAGGTGGAGCCTTCGCTGAGGTGTTAAAGCCTCCGCGGCCCCGGCCCCTGCAGCCGGCCGGGCAGCGCCCCGCCGCCTCCGCCCCGACGGGACCCCCGCCCCGGCTGCAGCCTGCCACGGGGCTGGGATTTCTGCCCGCGGTTACCACGAATCCATTGCCCCTCGCCTAACCGAGCCGTAACATCCCTTCCCCGACGAACCCCACGGGTCCGTTTCATCGCTCACGCCAGCACCAAACACCGCCGGCGGTCCCGGAGCAGCACGGCACAGATCGGGTCGGGGCAGGGCACACCCGGGGGTGGGCTCGGGGGAAGCATCCCCGCACGGCGGGGGGCTGCGGGGCTCCGGGAGCGGGCTGCCAAGGCGGGGAGGCAGCGGGGCCGGGCTGGGGCAGGCCGGGGGCACGGTGCCCACCTTGGTGGCCCCGGGCACGGCGGGGGGAGCCGCGAGCAGCCCCGCGGCTGACTCCGGGAGCCCCCAGCTCCCCGCAGCTCCCGGGGCCGCTCCCCCGGCTGGGGCCGGTCCCCGCGGGCGCTCTCCCCGGGCCGCCCCTGCCCGCTCCCGGAGCCCCGACGGCGCGGCCGCCTCTGCCCCGGAGCCGCCCGGGGCCGGGCAGAGGCTCGGGGGCTGCTCGGGGCCGGGAGCCGCTGCCCCCCGACGGGCAGAGCGGGGCGGCCGCGGGGCCCCCTCCAGCAGCCGTGGCTCGACGGGGGCCCGGACCTGCCCCCTCCCGCTGCTCCTGCGGGGCCAGCACCACAGCGGGCGGCTTCGGGGCGCATCTCGGAGGAGAGGTTTAGAAAAGGCTGCGGGGTGCGGCCCCGCGGGCACCTCTCGTTTCCCTGACGCAAGAGGCAGAAGTTTCCAAAATTCCCAGGCGGGCCCCCGGGGGTTTCATTTCCGCCTCCCCCCGGGGCCCGCCGCCGCCCCCCCCCCCGCTCCGCGCCCCTCCGCAGCCCGCAGCGCCCCGGGGCCGACACCGCGGGGGCTGCGACGCGGCCGCCGCCCGCCCCCGGCGGTCCCCGAACCGCTCGGAAAGTTTGTAAGCACGAGCTGACCGCAGAGGATCCCTGCAAAGCCGGCTGCGAGACAAGCTGCCCTCCGCCCCGAGCAGCTTCCCCACAGCCCGAGGCCGCCCCCCCGGCCCCGCGGAGCCCCCCGAGCAGAGGCGGGCGGGGAGCCCGAGGGGCCCCGTGCAGCACGGGCAGCCCTCGGCTTCTGCAGCGCAGGGACCTGCCGCGATAAAAATCCGCGAAAGGACCGACCTTGGAGTCTCAGGCGGTCCTCTCCGTCCTCCCGCAGCCGGCGAGCTCTGCCGCACGCGGTACTGAAATGAAACCGCCCCATCCATTCTCCTCTGCAGTTTACTACTACATTGTCAGAGTCTACTCTCCTTTATTTGCAATGGATGCTGGTGTTGGCGCTTCTCACTTAGACAGAAAGAAGACGAAATTCTATTCGTTTACATGTTTTATTGTTGTAAACATTAAAATTGTCTTTCTCAAAGAAAGAGTTATCAGGAAAAAAAAAAATCAGCGTTTCTAACTGTCATACACCATAGAAAAAAAGGCAGTGACTTGTATAATGTGCCGTACTGGGAATATACAAAGAAAAATACTACAGAATATGGCAATATTAAAAATATTACTCGAACATAAAATAATATATTAACCGACAATTTTAGACATAAAAAAAAATAAATTCAAAGTGCTCAGTAATTTCCAGGGAGTTATGTATATTATAAGCACTCTGGAAACAGTCAAAAGCTGCTGCATGCAAGATTTGTTTAGCTTTAGACAACAAAATAATCAAGATATAAACTTCTTTTTTAATCAACATCAACAGTACATACAACACTTACAAACAAGGAATGTCGGACGGTGTTTACAAACACTATGTGTCCCTTTGTCGAGGATTTCGGGTTTTGTAATACTTGTGCCCACCTATTTTACAATTGAGAAAATGTTTGAAGCTTAGATAACTACCAGTCTTTATAAAAGCTAACAGACTACATAGTGTCTGAAATACTATTTATAGAATATAGACATTACTGAAATAGCAAGTGCCTATAACATTGTCACCCTAGAATCATCATGCCTTCCTTGTACGGAGTCATTTACTTTTCTTTCTCTTTATTCTCCTTTTATTTATTTTTTATTTATTTTTTGCAAATGCTTTTAGATTTTCTCTGTAATTCTTTAGAATTGTTTCCCGTATTTATTCATAAATAGGCACAGAATAATTTTTAAAAAGCCAAACTGCATCTGATAAATTTACAAGCCTTTGCCTTCTTTAATGACATGCCACCCACAGAACATTTAGGTTTTGTATATATTACAGCTTTCTTTTACAGCAGAAAACTTTAGTCTTTAGGAGGGTGAGACTTGTGGGTCACCTTAATACTTTGTCACCGTTACGAGTCTTAGCTGCGCACCTGGCGTTGCCAGATAGGGTCATCTTTTTAATCAGAAGTCCTTAATAATAAATTCATTTATAAGCTGATAATAAAAAGTTTATACCATGGTATTTGTGTAGTCCATGATCTGCATCCATGATGCCCCAGAGCCAAAATGCCCCTTCACGTTCTGCCTGCAGGAAGTTAGCAACACTTTTTGGGATGGGAATCTGGCACCCAAAGGTGCTGCCTTGTGCCCAGATGAATTCCCCTTCAGACAGGTGAAGTTTCTTTTAAGTTCAGTGTAAGTGCATGGGAAGAGTCTTAAAAAGGTAAAGTGTCCAGAAAAAGTTTGTCGATTATTGCTGGTGGTGGCACCAAATCTTCCAGTTTCAGGTAGAAAATGCGCTGCAGCCCCTGCGTGCAAAGCGTGCGAAGTTCAGGGAGCTTCCCCAAGAGTTTGGACAAATAATTGGGGCGATTCAACCCCCCGTTATTAAAAGTCACATGGTCTTTGAGACAATTTACAATCTTGTTTTGAAGTTCTTCCACCCTCTTGGGTTCTTTAAGCCCATGCCTCTCTGCAAAAGACAAGGATGCAGGACATTACAGGTCTGACACTGCGGGGAAGGCAGGAGGGGAGAGGAGCTGCCTGGTGGCGCTGAGCGAGAAAGAGAGGGCACTGACCTGTCACCATAGCCAGGGCAGCGATGCAAGAGAACGCGGAGATGTCGATGTTCATGTTTTGCAAGTTGGAGGAAAATTCAACAATGGAATCAATCCATTCCCCAAAGCCCCGGACGCACTGCAACCGGTGCAGGACCACCCCGTTGCAGAAGATAAGCTTGCCCTCCACGGGATTTGACCTGGAAGGAATATGACAACCCCAAAATGAACAGATGAATGAGTAAAAGAAACAAATAGATAGAAAAAGAAAAGAAATAAAAACATAAAGGCAAAAAGAAGAGAAAAATGAGAAAGCAAAAGGAGGGGGGGAAAGGGAGAGATAAGAGAGGAAGCATGAGAGAGAAAGGTAAAAAATAAAGAAAAAAGAAATGGACACGTTTAAAAAAAAAAAGGAAAAGAAAGAAAAGGGAAGATGGGGGAGAAAAGCTAAACAACTAATTACTTGAGGAGCAATAAATGAAGGATTTAGGAGGCACCTAATTACCGAGGAGTTAATAAAACGCAGATCAGTGGACCTTGAAAGGATCTGATTTCATAATCGCCCAGAAGTTCCCCCCTCGGATTTTGGCCGCTTACCTGTAAGCCAGCCGCAGCACGAACAGCTCCAGGAAGGCGGATTCAAAGAGCAGGTCTTGGTCTGTTTTGGGAAGGTCGGTGAAGCCGGGAATTTTTTCTGCCCATCCTCGGATGATCTCCATGGAGCCGGTCAAGAGATCATAGAACTGCTGGATGTGCTGAGTGTCATCTCCGCTCATCTGGTAGTCAGGGTTAGCCTGGAACTGGAAATTCATTTTAAAAAGCACTTAATGAGGTTCTCCAAAGTATATAACCCGTGAAATTGCTAACCCCATTTCTAGTAGGGGAGCCAGATTTTTATAACAATTAAACCTCTCTCTGACCAGTAAGGAAATTAGATGTTCCAGGGCAATTAATTCAATTAGGAACGGTGCTACGAGGTCGCTGCTTTAAATATGCAAATCGCCGTTTCCGTGCAGGCTGCAGCCAGGGCCGCCCCGCGCGGGGAGACGGCCGCGGCTCTGCGCAAAGCGAGCGGCAAAGCCAGGGGCGGCGGCGGGGGCCGCGGGGAGCGGCGGCGGGGCCGGCCCGGCCCGGCTCGGCCCGGCACGGCTCGGACGGACCCGGCACGGCTCGGCCCGGCCCGGCTCCCGCCCGGCGCCCCGCGCACCCCGGCGGGCAGAGGCGCTGCCGGGCGGGGGCCGCTCCCCGGGCGGGCGCAGCGAGAGGTGGCTCCGCGAGCTCGGTCCAGCTTACCCTGGAATAGTCCAGGCTGGTCATAGCCGGGTTGGAGTCGACATGGGCTCTCACCAGCGCACTGATCAGACTCACCGGGGGAGAGGGGGGAGAGGGCTCCTGGGGGCTCTTCGGTTTGGATGGCAAGCGACCCCTCCGGCCTTTTAGGCTGTCTGTGCGAACCACTGCAAGAGAAGCGGTGCTCAGCCCCCCGCCGGGCTCGGCACGGCCCGGCACGGCCCGGCACGGCGAGGGGGTCGCCCAGACTCACCCTCCTTGACCATGCCGACGGCGAGGCACTTCTGGAAGCGGCAGTACTGGCAGCGGTTCCGGCGGCGCTTGTCCACCGGGCAGTTCTTGTTGGCCAGGCACACGTACTTGGCGTTCTTCTGCACCGTGCGCTGCGGGACGGGACCGGGGGGACGGGGGGGACGGGACGGGACGGGACGGGACAGGACAGGACAGGGACGGCGGCAGTCAGCCTCGGGGGCCGCAGGTGCCGCCGCCCCGCCGGGCTGCCCGGCTCCGCTCCCGGCCCCGCCGCTGCTTTTTTCCCTATTCCTTTATTTCCTTCTCCTTTTTTTTTTTTTTTTCTCTTTTTTTTTTTTTTTTTTTTTTTTTTTCCAGGGCATTTAAGCGGGAGAAAATTGCAAGCGTTAACATCTGAGCTAACCCCGCAGCTCCTAGCAGTGTTTTATATGCCAAGAGAAGGGAAGGAGACGCTCAGTAAATACAAATCCGTGGGCATTCATATTATTTACATTCCTTGGAGACCTCCTCTATTTAAAATGATAAGATTATTCAATCAGGATGGCGAAATAAAGAGATCACTTAATTTGACCACAGGGAATTCTGTTCCACTCGGTTAGCTCACACACGGCTCCCTGTCCTGGCCAATCTCGCTCCAGCGGGCAGCAAAGCGACCCACACCCCCGGCTCCCCGTGCCCCCCGGGCTCCCCGTGCCCCCGGTCCCCCGCACCCCCTGCCCTTAGCCCTTAGCCCCCCGGTCCCCTGGCGCAGCTCACCTTGAAGAAGCCCTTGCAGCCCTCGCAGGTGCGCACGCCGTAGTGCTGGCAGGCGGCGTTGTCCCCGCAGACGGCGCAGAGCCCCTCGTTGGACGGGGAGCCCCGCGAGGGTGGCGAGGGCACCTGGCTGTCCAGCAGCTGGGGAGCGTGGCCCAGCTGCAGCCCGGGGAAGGCCATGGAGGGCTGCTTGCGGATGGGGTTGGGCACGGCGAAGGCCTGCCCGTCCACGCCGTGGTGCGCCCCGGCCGGCTCGGGGTTCATGGGCACGTGCAGGGGCCCGTCGAAGCGCATCTGGCAGCTGGAGACGGGCGTGCCGGGGGGCGACTGCTTGAAGGAGAAGAGCGAGAGGCGGGAGACGGGCGTCTTCCGCTGCTCGATCATGTGCGTGGTGGCCACGTAGTTGGGGTGGAAGTTGTGCAGGGAGCCGGGGTCGTCCCACATGGGGCCGTGCTGCACCTGGAAGCCGGGCGTGGAGGGGGTCGGGGGCGACGAGGGCTTGTAGTACACGGAGCCCGAGTGGGACATCATCTCCTCGGACTGGGGGGGCAGGTGGCCGTGCTGCTGGTAGCTGTGCATCTGAATGTCTTCCACCTTAATGGAGGACTGCTGTCCGGACAGGGGCATTTGGTACAAGCAAGGTGGCTTCACGTCGTAGCTTGTGTTGTAGTTGTCCATAAAGGTACTGAAGCTGGGGAGAGAAGTGGTGGCAGTGATTTCAGTGTTGGTGAGGTCCATGCTAAACTTGACAAACTCTGGAGTTAAGAAATCGGAGCTGTATTCTCCTGAAGAGTGGTAACTGTAGCTCTGGGAGGCTGGGCTGGCTCCTTGCGGCGAAGACCCATACTGAGCCTGAACACAGGGCATGGCTGGAAACGAAACAGGGCAACACAGGCTCAGCCCGGACGACTGCGCGCCTCGTGCCCGCGCCGCGGGCCGCCCGCCGCCCCCGCCCCGCGGAGCGCGCAGCCCGCCCGGCCGGGGGGAGCCGCGGCTGCCGGCGGCCCCGCTGCGCGCCCCCGGCCCGCCCCGACGGCGCGGACCCCGGATCCCCCCCCCACCCACCCCGGGTCCCCCCGGTCCCGCTCGGCCGCGGGGCTCCGGCGGGCAGTGCCGGGCAGGGCGCTCACCAACCTTCAGCCGAGGGAGAGGCGTTTCCGAGGGAACTAAAGGCGGACAGCGTCGGAGTCCGGCGGGGAGCGAAGTTTCCGCGATTTTAGCAAACGGAGGCGGACTCCAGCCTGCCCGGTGCGCTCGCTGCAACACACACACGGGGCGCGCGGGTCAGGGCTGCGGGGGGCGGGCGGCACCGGGCTCCGACGGCACGGCCCCGGGAGGAGCCCCCAGCCCCGCACAGCGCCGGGAACGGGCTCGGGCAGCGGCGGCCGCAGCCGGGGCTTCCTCGGGGCCCCGCCGAGACTTTCCCAGCGGGAGGAAAACTTTCCGGAGGCGGGCCGCCCAGCCGCTCTGCCGCTCCTGCCCTCCCGTTCTCCGGCGGAGAGCAGCCGGTGCGGTACCGCGAGGGGCAGCCCCTTGGGGCGGGCGCGGAGCGGGGCCCGCGGCACCTTCCCGTGCCACCGCGGCGCCCCGGCGAGGCTCGCAGCCGCCGCCCGGGGAGGGCACGGCTGACAGCAAGCGCGGATTAATTCAAACCAGACGGGAGCCGCAGCCAGGCAGCCCGGGCTCTCGGCGTCACGCCGCCGGGACAGACAGGGGGACGCGCTCCCGGGGGCGGCCCGGCCCGGCCCCAGCGGGATCGGGGCTCTGCCGGGACACCGCGGAGCCCCCCCCGGGCCGGCCCCGGCCGGGCGGGCGCCGGCCCCGGCGGCACGGTGCTCCCACGGGCGCTCCGCGGGCGGGACACGCGTGCGGGGCGCGGAGCCGCCGCCACCCCCGCGCCTCCCCCGGCCGCCCCCGACGGCGGCGGCTCCGCTCCGCGCCCCGTGCGCGGGATCCCCGCGGGCAGCGCCCGGACGCGCGGGGCCCGTGCCGGCGGCGGGCGCGGGGCCGTGCGCGGGGCTGAGCGCCGCGGGACTCACCGGAGAGCGGAGACCTGCGCGGGCATCCAAGTGCCGGGCGGCGGTGGGCGCGGGGCGGGCGGCGCGGCGGGGCACGGCGCGGCTCGGCACGGCTCGGCACGGCCGGGCACGGCGGGACTCGGCGCGGGGCAGCGGCGGCAGCGTCGCGCCGTGCGAGCGAGGCGGTCGGAGTGGCCCTTCCCCGCAATGTGCCTTTGTTTATGTGCGCTCCGCATCGCGAGCCAACATGCACCTAAAGTCCCCGAGCGTCAGCGCGCGTCAGCGCCGCCCGCCCAATCAGCCCGCCGCGGGGCCGGCCTCCCCGCTCCGTTGGCCAGCGCTCGCTTTGGTAAATTTCCGACGTGACATCACCGCCCGCCGCCGCTTAAGGTGGGCACGGCCGCTCGCGGCGCCCCGCGGGCCGCCCCCCGACGGCACGGGCTGCCCGCCCGCCGGGCGGCGCTCCCGGGGGCCGGGAGGGGGGAGAGGGCGGCGCCCCCCGACGGTGCCACCCGCGGCGCTCCGGGCCCCGCCCGCCCGCTCCGCCGCCTCCCCCCGACGGCCGCCGCCGGGGCCGGGCGCTGCGCGGCCGTCGGGAGGCTCCGGGAGCGCGGCGCGGGGGGCGCCCGTCGGGGGGCGGGAGGCGGCGGGCGGGGCCCCCGGTGCGCCCCGTCGGGCCCGCGGCACCTTAAGCGGGGGCGGGGCTGGGGGCGGGGCTGGGGGCGGGGCTCATTTGCATGCGCTCGGCGGCGTCACCCGCCCGCGGCCGGGGGGAAAAAGTGAGCGCGGGGCGGGGCGGGGCGGGGCGGCGCGTGACGCAGGGGGACGCCGCCATTGACGCAACCGCGCGGCGCGCCAAAAATAGCCCCGGCGGGGGGGGGGGCGCGGGGGTGTCCCGGGACGCCCCGTCGGGGCTCCCCGCGCCGCGCCTGGCGGCCGCTCGCTGCCGTCCTGCCCCTCACCTCCTCCCTCCTCATCCTCATCCTCCTCCTCCCGCCGGGTCCCCGCTGCCCCAGGCCCGCAGCTCCCCCCCGGTGCTCCAGGTCGGCCCCCCAGGCAGGCAGGGGGCTGCTGTCCCGTAGGAGCGCCCCGGTCGCCGCAGGCACGCAGAGCCGTGTGTCCGTTCAGCAGCGCTTTATTCAGTGCCCTCGGTACAGGCCCCGCGCGCTACGCGTGCCCCGCGCCCCCGCACATCCCCGCATCGCGGTGCCAGCTGGCGTCGGGGCTCCGTGCCCACCGCGCGCCCGCTCGTCCCACGGAACCGGCACCCCCGGAGGGGTCACTGGGGGCCGTGAAAGGCAACAGCGGTGCGGACAGGTGAGGTCCATTCAGTCCATGCTTGCCCCCAGCCCAGCACAGCCCGGTCGTGCAGGTGGGTGCGATGGCACGCTGCGATGGCACACCCCAATGGCACACCCCAATGGCACACCGCGATGGCACGGGGCTGCTCGTCAGGAGGCAACAGGAGCAGTGAGGGTGCAGAAGCACGTGGCCACGCCAGGGCACCTCGAGGTCATTGCCGCCCTTCCTCAGGCTGCATCCCCTGCTGCAGTTCTGCCTGGAAAAAAGAAAGAGCTCAATTAAGTCCGGCTCCCTCTCCACGGCTCGGGGAGGAGGCGAGTGGCTGTTACACCAGGTCCCGCCGCAGGGACTGGCAGGGGTCTTACAAAGAACAGAAACCTGCTCCTTGTTGAGGAGACCTGAGCGTGCAAGAGCCCTGCTCCGAACTCCTTTTCCGAGGGCTGGGAGAGGCACTGCCTGCACACACAGCCTGCCAGCACCACCCCGTACACAGCTCAGGTTAGGACCTGGTGCACCTGAAGCAGCACAGCCCGGCCACACAGCGACAACGTTTCAGACACAAAATTCTTCCTTACATACAGCTCTATGAAGCTCTCACACATGAATGGCTTATGCAAAACTCCAATCAGTCCTTCTCAGGTAAGTCACCGTGCTCATGCTGGGGATGCTTCTCCCTTTGAGCTCAACCTACACAACCTCCGTGATGCCCCAGACCAACCGCTTTGCTCAGCACACATCCAGGAGGATCATTTGCTTGTGGTGGTGCTCCTGCCCCAATAAGTGTCTGCCAAGGTGTGCTGGGAGGGAGCTGGGGTGGCACAGCCGAGCCGAGGAGTCGCAGGCTGCAGGAGCCCCCAGCCTGCTGCCCGGCTGGGGGCCGGTGTCGGTGCCACCCCACGGTTAGTCCTGGCTGTAATTTCAGCACGGTGAAGGAACCTCACTGCACAGACCCTTACAGGGACAAGAAACACATCTAATTACCATATCCTTAGAATAGATGTAATATAAATTTCATTACTCACTTAAAAGTTCTAAAGTTAACAGCATAAACTTGAAGTTGAGTAATTAAGTAATCCTTATATAGACACTTATTAAAGTATTTATACATATTATCTTAAATCTACATCTATCATTTTGCCAATTAAAATTAGGACTTTAATTGCAATTAAGTAATTTAATTGCCAATTGAACAGCAAAATTGCTAAGTGACTAATTTTAATGCCTATTTTAATTACCAATCATGACTGGGGAGGGAGCTAATCAAGCGGTATCAGAGTAATGATGTGAAAAAAAACGGAGAACAAACATTCAAGACTACATGCTTTTAAAAAAGAACTCTAAATTAAATAAATGCAAACACAATTTTATACATGCGGCGAAATGCTGTATTTCGGTGTCTAAATACACGAGCACAAAGGACACATTTAATTAAAAGGAGCCGTCACTCTTCCCCTAAAGTACTGAAGGGAAGCGCCCTGCGCTACCTGGGGCTCCCTGAAACGCAGCCCCCTGCCCATGGATGGCCCCGAGTCCTGCACAGGGCACAGGGCACCAGGCTGAGCTGCCCTGGCAAAGCGATACTTGGGGAAAAATAAAATAAAGCAAGGCACTGAAGCAGCCCCAAAATGCCTCTGATGGCTCCTGCAAGGAGAGGCGGTGGCGTTGCAGGCCAGGGGCACGTCTGCACCTCTGGGCCCCCGATGGCCCCCCCAGGGCTGCAAGAGCCTGGTGCAGCAGGGCCGTGCCACACCACCCGCTGTCCCTTCCTGTCCTGCTGGCCGGCTCCCTCTGCCCCACGGGGAGCGCAGGCACACACGTGCACACACGTGCACACGCAGGCACACGCGTGCACAGATGTGCTGTCACCATTCCTGCTCCCCCCAGCAGTGGTTCCACAACAGGTGGGTTGCAATCACTTCTGACATGCCAGGGAAGGGCCAGAACCGAGCGTGCTGCAAAAAATAAAATCCCATGTTCCTGAAGGGATTCGCCTACCACTAACGGGGTTTTTCAGCTTGCAGCTCATCAGAACTCCCGCAGAAGGGCCACCCCAGAGCCTGCATTTTGGGACACTCCTGACAGAGGCCTGGCTCAGCCACGGGCATTTCCAACAAAGCACAACATTCCTGTCTCTGCGGTGTGTGAGCACAGACAGGAGGCAAACTAACGAGGTCTAAGGGGAAGTTACGGTGCTTGTTTAAGATGAGGAAGGGCACGAAGCGACTTGTGGGTGCTGCACTCGTGCCTCTATCAGCAGAAGGAGCGCACTGGGTCAGTCCCAGTGACGAAGCTCTGGTTGCCCTGGCTGTGACAGCAGCAGAAGTAGTGGCCAGGCCCTGCTGGCAGTGCTGCAGCTGGAGCCAGCAGCCCGCACGGCAGCACACGGTCAGCGCTGCAGCGAGCACCAGCAGTGACCACAAAGCACCATAAATCCCGTGAGGTGCCTACCCCAAAAGATGCATGAATGCATGAAGAGCTCTGTTATGTGCCTGGCAGTCCTGGGCTCTGCATCATCGCAGGGATGGGTAATGCAGGAGGTGACCGCTCGTTCGGTCTGTGGGCAGCTCCACCTGCAGCTCCTCTGCCCCATGGCAGCGGGGCACAGCTTCGCTCCTTGCTTCTGGAGGCTGTGGGGCAGCACTGGGGGCCTGTGGGCATGGGGGCTGATCCTGGCAGTGAGCTGTGCCTCCCCTGCTCGCCAAACCACCTGCGCCCCATCCCAGCCTGTGTTTTGGGAGAGGCACCGCGCTGCCCCTCAGCAGGGCAGGAGCTCAAGACCCCCCCAAGGTACCTGCCATGGGCGGTGTGATGTGGGGCAGCAACCGCTGTGCACCGTGCCAGAACACAGCCAGGGCCAAAATCACCACCCTGCGACGGGGGCAGGTTTGTGGCAGGGCCCCCAGAGCCACCCCACACCTTGCTGCCTTTGGGGTGCACGCACCCTACAGGCACTGGGACGTGCCCTACAAGCACGGGGACACCGGGATGGGCCCCGGGCGTTCCTTGGGGGGCTCCCACAGCACAGGGCGAGGGGTCACAGGGCGAGCCCTGACGCCGGGGTGAACGCTCCGGGCTGTGTCCCACGGGCACCCCCCGGTTTCCCTGCAGGTGCTGAAGGAGCGACTCCTCCTGCCTGCCCTCGGAGCACACCGGGATGGGCAGCGCCGGGCGCTACGAGGCTACCACGGGGCTACCACGGGGCTACCACCGGGTCCCACCGGCGCCCCCCCGGCGGCGCGGTCCCCCCGGCAGGGGCCGGTCCCGGCTCGGTGCCGCCGCGCACCGGCTGCCGGCCGGGTAGCGCTCGGGCCCCCCGCCCGGTGCTGGGCGCTGCGGGGGCTCCCGGCGCGTCCCCGTCCCGCCCGTGCCCGAGCTGCCGCTGCACCGGGACGCGCCCGGTGCCGGCCCCGTTCCCCCCCCGCGTCCCGGTCCCGCCGCTACCTGCCTGTGCCGCCGGGTCGGTGTCGGCTGCCGGCTCCGTGTCCGTGTCCGGGTCCGTGCCCGGTGCCGGTTCCGTGCCCGGTGCCGCCGCCCCCGCCGCGCGTCAGCGGCCGCCGGGCGCCGCGCTCCGTGACGTCACGGCACGGCCCCGCGGGGGCGGTGACGTCACGCGGGGGCTGCCCGCGCCCCGCCCCGCCCGACGCCGCCCGCGGCCCCGGGACCCGCGGGGACCCCCCCGGGGCGCGCTGCGGGGACCCGGCCCCGCGTCCCGCACACGCGTGGGACGTGCCTGGGGGGGGCGCCGGGACCCGCAGAGCCTGGATCCGTAGCCCCGAACCGGGCGCAGGTCGCTGGAGCCCCCCCCCCGGGCAGCTCCCCCGACGTGGGGGGCTCGGCCCCGGGCTGCAGCTCGCCCTGCGGCCACAAACCAGCCCCGTGTGGGATGCAGCATCTCGGGGGGGCCCGGTAATCCTCGGCACGGGGCCGTGCCCACACGGGGCATCACGCCTCGAAGCCAGGGAAAAGCTGAAAAAAAACTTGTGGGAGATGTGAACTTGCAAAACTCTTCGCCCGTGTGACTGTGGCTGTTATGAGAGGTAAATGGCAGGGAGAATAAGCCCATTAATGCAGACTGTTAATTGAAAACAGGACTTGTGGGGAGAATGTAGTTTGTAATTATGAACATAGTTATTAAAATATCAGTTTGCTTTTTAAAACGCCTGACTATAATACAGAGTACGGAGCAGTTGCATTTAAAGAAGTTAATTATTTCCAGAGCTTCAGAAAAGGAAGTCTATGCTGAAAATGATTTACCAATTGTTAAGTCTGTTTTCTAATTATCAGTTTCACCAAGCTGCTGTGGAATACCAGTTTAAACTGATTCTTACTTCCAGGAGGAAACGTGTTACTTGTGTGCATGTTCTGGTCCCTCCCTGGTGGTTTGCTCTGGGTGTTTCTGTGGCACTGGCTCACACCTACAGGCATTGCTCCTGGATAACATTTCTCCCATTTCGGCCTCCCCGGGGCTGTGGCCGGCTCACCCGCAGCAGCTCCTGGTGGTCTGCCCGTGGTTCCTGGGGGCAGCTGCTCGCGTGCCCGAAGCGGTGCCAGGCGCCTTGCGAGACCCAGCAGAAAACAAAGAGGAACATTTTTGTGGGGAGCACATGCCGGTAAGAGCTGGGCACGCGTTACGCAGCCAGCAACGCCTTTGGCAAAGGACCCGCACGGCAGCGTCTGCAGCACCAGCATCGAGCTGTGCACATGGACTCCCACGTGCTACCATCAGCGTGCAGCGAGGGGCTTCTGCGCCTGGGGCTTTGTGCACCAGCCCCAGCATCCCGGCAGCCTCGGCTTCCACAGCCAGTCCCGATGGGCCCTCTGGTAGCACAGAGGCACCGTATGGAGGAGCCGGGCAGTCTGTCTGTCTGTCTGTCACCAACTGACCGTCGGAGCTCCAGCCCTCTCGCCATGCCAGCAGCAAGGCGCTCCTCGTGTTTAGTGCGAGTGGAGCACATCACAGATCCAGCGGTACACAAAGCATCGCTCTGTCCTCGCTCAGTCACTGAAATAATGATGGAGAAACGGGCACGAAATGACACGCAGGAGTAGTGTAAGCTCCTTTGCAACACTTGAAGCACAGTAAGCAATAAGCACTGATTTGAGAAAGAATGGTATTAAATAAAAATATTTGAACTGTAGTTTAACCTGCACACAGAATGGAGGAAACAGCTGATTGTTTTTTCAGCTTTAACTAAATGGGATCCAGTTCTTCAAAAAAAAACCCAAAGATTAAAACTGAAGTAAAAATTGAATCCC